GCAATTCCAGAATCACGGGGTCATCATATTCGTGAGTATGACTTTACGTCTACATTACCTCACCCAGAAGGTTTAAGACCTTTATTTATGGTGAATGAGGAATTATATGCTGAAAACCCACATACAGCACAGCATATTTTTGGTACAAGTGATGGAGCTGGTACAGCAATTTTAACTTTCCTAGGTGGTTTCCACCCTCAAACTCAATCAATGTGGTTAACAGATATTGCTCACCACCATTTAGTGATGGCAGTTGTGTTTATCTATCCGGGAGATATGTACCGTACAAACTGGGGTATTGGTCACAGCATGAAAGAAATTCTTGATGCACATGTACCTCCTAAAGGTCGTCTAGGGGCAGGTCACCGTGGTCTATTAGAAACAATTACGGATAGTTTACACATGCAATTAGGATTAGCTTTAGCTTCATTCGGTGTACACAAGCAGCCACACAAGTCAGCTTTGGGAGCTCTCGGCGACGCCCAATGCGTGCGCCGGTAGGGGGGAGTGTGTGCGCGCGTGTGTGAGATGAGGATTGTGGCAGGCTGGCTGCTGCTGATGTGGGCAAGTGTGCTCTGTGTGCGGCGCTGCGCTGGCGTGCGACGCGCGCGTGCTGTGTACGTGTGCGTGCTGCGGTCGCGCGCGCGTCTGTGTGTGCTGCGCGCGCGCCGCCGGTGTGTGCTGTGCGCTGTGCTCTGTTTTGCGCCCTGTTTGTGCAGCTGGGAGGCGCAGGCTTGGCTGGCAGGGCTGCGCGGTGGGCTGCGGCGTGCTGCGGGTGGTCGCGCGCCTGCCTGATGGTGTACGGCGGCCGCGCAGCCCGCCCGACCGGGTCGTCGGCGGCCCAGGGCGCGAGCATGCGGTCGGCGCTGCATGTGAGGCTGCTGCGCGGCTGGCGCGTATGTTTCCGTGCGGCGAGGGACGCGCGTATGTGTTCACGCTGCGGGCGCGGGCGGGCGCGGGGGGCGGCGCGGTCTCACCGCGGTCCGACGTCGGTTGGTCTTCGGCGTGGCGAGGGCGGGCGCGCAGAGAGGCCTTGCCGCCATCGCGTTGCCGATCACACTGGGATTAACACAATCAGAAGAAAGCTCCTTAACAGCTGGAAGAGAGAAAGAATCTTCTCTCTCTAACAGCTGTGAGAGTCGTGATTTCTTGTTGGTCTTCAAAAATATCTCTCTCACAATCAGCAGGGTTGGGGACATGCGGTGTTAGGGGAAGGAAGGACTCGTCACTTACTTTACAGGGAGGGAGGAAGGTTAGGCTGTACCCATGTTTCCTCGCACTTGGAGCACTTGGAGTGCAGTCGCTCACCCCGTCTCGTTTCCTTTCTGTGTTTCTCTACAGCACCCTCTCGTTTCCTCTCTAGTTTCCCGAGGAAACTCCGCGGAAATCATCAATTCACGGGCTCTGAGGCTGGTTTGGGCCCAAAATCAGCCAACTCTCGGCAAAATACCCCGGTATTTTGCGGGTATACCTGGAACCCCCGTATACCTGGAAATACCT